GTGTCCCCTCTCCACTTCCGTCCAGCGCATCACCTACACTACGTGCTGCCCCAATGAATCTGGACTGTCAGATTCCCCAGCTCCACCGGGAAGTCCCACTGACGCTAAGAACAATGCCTCCTGATTGGGGGCTATGTGAGAATGGGCCTGGTGTGGGGTAGGGGAGGTCAGAGTGTGGCAGGTGTCCAACACCTCTCTGCTTATCTTCCCTTCTCCTTTGCCCACAAAGGAGGCATCTTCTCCATGTCCCTCTGCCACCCTGAAGGCATAAAATACTCCCCAGGTCTGTCTTCCCTTGGACATGGCCCACCTATCTTCCTGTGGGACTCAGGGCTTTGTTTTGTCCTGTGGCCCACATGAGAAGCAATTATCCCTTCTCTGCTCAGCTGAGAGAGGTAAACTGAGGCAGAGCAGGGGAACAACTCTGTTGTAGTCTGTATGTTAATTGCAGAGTCAAGAACAGCCCTTCCCCGAGTGGTCGGGTCCAGTGGACACCAAGCGTGGAGGCTGTATCAGTCTGTTTTGTGTTGCTCCAGAGGAATACCTGACACTAGGTCAATTACTTATTTCTTTCAATGGGTTGGCAGGGCTACTAGGCTGAGGGTTGAAGCCCCATCTCCTAGTCCCAGCCTGGGTCTCCATCACTGGCTAGCCAGCTCTGCTCACTGCGTTCTCTCCACACCTGCCTCCGGCAGCCCAGGGGTCAGTTTGGGTGCAGGCCTGGGAAGGCCCAGGAGACATGACCCCAGCTCATGTCTCCTGTGCACCAAGGCAGCCAAAAAGCAGCAGCAGAACCAGGAGCGCTGGCTTGTTCCCCTATCCGCATATTTTGGGAGGATGAGGTGGAAAGATCGCTTGAGACCAGGCTGCACAACATAGCAAGACCCTGTCTCTACAAAAAATAAGATTAGGCATGGTGGCATGCACCTGTAGTCCCAGCTACTCAGGAGGCTGAGGTGGGAGGACCACATGAACCCAGGAGGTCAAGGCTGCGGTGAGCTATGACTGTACCACTGCACTCCAGCCCGGGCACCAGAGAAAGACCTTGTCTCTAAAACAAGAAACAAAGTGTACCCGTGTGTGGAATCCAGCTTCTGCTGTGTGGACCTGACCTCACTAAGCCCCATCGGTGAGTGAGAGGCTGTCTGGCATCTTCCAAAACATTCCCACCACTATACATGTAGCCCTCCTGTGTTCCCTGGCGTGCTTTGTGAGGGGGCCTGTCCCCTACCCCTTTGGTTACCCTAAGGCACAGCTCAAACCTTCCTTGCCACTGAGAGCCTTTTCCTGCAGAGTCTCACCCTCACCCACAGGCCTCCTCATTTCAGAGCTTTTAGTGGGGTGAGTACGAGGATTGACTCACTGCTACCAGCTGGGAGGAATTGTCCCTAGGGTTGGGTCTCTGGATGGCATATGAGAATCTAGACAAGGACCCAGATGCCTGTAACCTGAAGGGCAAGGGCCTCAGCTGTCCAGGCTTCACACTGCGAACTCTGGTTTCCCTGGCTTACCTACTTTGACTCCAAAGGTAATAATGCCGACATCCCCCGTGAGACAGAGTGACAGACTGAGACTGTCATAGGGTTACCTGGCTCACAGTCACCATAGCCAGGCAGAGCTCAGGTCCTGGCCCTGTTCAAGGCTTTCCCAAAACCCTTCTACCTCTGGTACCTGGGTTTTTCCTCGCCCAGCTGCATCTTCCCCAGCCCTTCCACCAGGTGACACAGAACCCGGCAGTCTGTGACCCATAGAAGGCTTCACTTTCCTTGTGGTGAGGGATGAGAACCAGCTTAGGGCGGGAGGGAAGAGGGGTCTGGGGTCCCTCCCAGCCCTGCCTCTGGCATTTGAAGGATGGTGACTGGGCAGCAGAATTGTTTAGGCTAGACAAGGTGGACCCGAGGTTTATAGCCTGGCCTCAGACAGCTGCTGCCATGTCTCCTTCTCTTCTACATGTGCTGACCTGGCATCCCACCTAGTTAAAGGTCCTCAGGCCTCCTGCCCCTGGGCATTTCTCCCACTCCCTGCCCAGACACAGCTGTCCTTGACCTGGACTCATCTTCAGAGATTCTTGTCCAGCACACAGCTTTGCTGGGCGTCGCAGGCTGGGCTGGGCCCCCTGTCCTGCACTGACATCTCTCTATGAGTCTCAACTAGACTGAGCTGCAACTTCAGGGTCAGGACAGGCTCTGGCTTAATTGATGTGGTCCAGGACCAGGGGGTACATCTGCTTGAGTTCTTGGCCTGTATGGTCTCTTTGGGACACGATGCCCCTCTGTCCCATGCTTAGGTGCCCACATGTGGCCACAAGTGCCTTTCCTCCCACCATCCCTCCTTTAGGCCACTGTCCAGGCACCTGGGGCTCCAGGCACAAGGGTGAGTGCAGAGCCAGGCCTGGGAGGATATTCCGCAGGAGCTGCAGGAGCTGACAGCCTTGGCCACACAGCCCATGGCCATCTGTTCCCCTTCGTTGTGGTTGCCCCCAGTCCACCACCCTTCCAGGGCCAGGCCTGGAACCAAACTGACTTCTGTCTGCCCCTGGTTTCCCTCGCGCCTGCCAGGTTCTTGGCTGGGCATGATGGTCTTGCCCGTTTCCTTGATTATCCACAATAAGGTTTATAGAGCCACTTGGGAACATCACATCTGTCTGCCAGGTCCTCACCCGAGGCAGGACTGCCTTGGGCCTGTTGGGATCCAGATTCAGTGGCTTCAATCTAGGCAATGGGCTGATGGGCAGCTGTCACTTCTCCTCTGCTTGGGGGAGGCTGGAGAGGAAGGTCAGGCAGGAGATCTGCTTGGCGCCCACCTGTGCCTGTGTCACCTGGCTGCAGGTGCATTGAAGGCTGAACCCCTTTCCTGATCTCCTGCAAGTGTGGATTTCAGGTTTCCAATGGGTGTCAGGGTGAGCTCCAGTGCCCTCCTGGCCCTAGGGAACCCTGGGCTCCATGAGACCTCGGTCTAGGCAGGATTGTTTCCCACACTGTCAACTCTCCATGAGGTCACCTCTTCAAACATAGGGCGGCATGCTTTATTATATTTCAAGGTTGAAAAGCAAAAGCCGGCGCCCCCTCTCTCCCGGAGTGGGTGGCCCCTCCCCTCTCAGAGTGGGCAGGGACAGGAGTTGCAGGGGCAGCTTTCCTTGGGGTGCCACAGGTCCCTCCGGAGCTGCTGCTGCCTGGCCACGCCTCCTTTCCCTTTCATCTTTTTCATTGACCAATGGGATTGGAGCACGAAGGCCACGCCCCTATTCTACATTCTAGTGTGGCCCTGGTTACCGCGTCCTCTGGCTCAGTCAACACAACTGCCTTGTAGGAGAGTGGAGCTGCTTACCAGTGCTCCCTTGAATTGCGCTGATGTGGCCCCAACCTCACCTCCCTCCCCAACCGCTCGCCCCTCCCCCACCCACCATGGCGATGTCGGAAGAAATTCGCAAGATGAAATTAGCCTCCGCTAGGAAAAAGGTAACATGCACACAGATCCCCTCCGACAGCAAGACCGCTGCCAGAGTCCATAACACTTCTGAGACACACTAGACTGGGTGGGCCCCCAACCCCGGTGCCTCTGGGCTCCCCCTACCAACGTCTTGTCAGTCAGCCCCACCCCTTCAGCAAGGGGCCCAGCCGCTGCCCTTGCCAATCACCCCAGGGTGACTTTAGATGTGTAACCCCTGAGGCTCCCCGCTCCCTACTTAGGCCTCATCTTTTCCTGCCCCAAACCTCACCTCCCTGGGCTCTGTGGGCTTATGACTCTAAAGACCTGGGTCTCCCAGTCCCCACCCTCATCAGTCATTTGTGGGTGGCTTTGGGCTGGTGACTCCTGGGAAACCCTGCTGCAGACTCTGCCCTCCCCTCCTGCTCCCCCATTGTGACCTCCCTTTACTCTTTGGGCTGGTGTGTCCGAGGACCGGGGTCCCAGCCCTGCATCCCCCTCCCACATCATGGAGCAGTGACTCAGGCATCTCCTTGATGTGGTCCCCTCCCCCAGGGGGAGTGGAATGTAGTGATGTCACGGTCTCCCTAGGAACCGTCATTACTGCTACAAGACCAGCCTTCGATCTTAGGACCCAGTCCCCTAAGCATTCTCATCCCATTTCTGGCTCCTCTGGTCCCAGCACAAATTTCCAGCTGGAAGGAAATTTGCCTCACTCCCTTAACATAGAAATTGACAGTGTGAAAAGCCTACACTTCCCTCSTGAGCTCAAAACGTTGACAGTGTCTCTGGGTGGCAAKGGGAGAATGGGTTTGGTTTGGTTTTCTCTCAGGCTTCTGCTCTCCAGAGAGACTTTCABGTTTCTTTCTGAGTTCTYCACCTCAKCTTCAAATTCTCCATGRTTCTGGGACCASAYTGMCCTTCAGTCAGTGGCCTCTGGAGTGAGATYTRCTCATCTTCTGTGGAACAGATCTTGGGAAATTGAAACTGACAGCTTGAATCTTCCTCATATCATCTCAACTTAGGCTACTTTGAATGTCATGGGATAAACATGGGACATCTTTCAGAAGCATCAGTTTCCCTTGAGTCTCTTGAGACAGCAAAAACATTAATGTATTTAGGGATGACAGTCACATCGGTTTCTAAGAGTATATCAGACTTGTCTCTGAAATGAGACTTGGGTTGTCCTCTTTCTGATGAATTCCCAGATTTAACAGAAAGGCTGCCTTCTGCCATGAGGATACATTGATAGAAAAGTGTGAGAGGTGCTGGTGCTCTTCTTAACACTAACAGACGTTTGAAGCTGTATGACTCCAAACCACACGGCATACAGTTCCTGTCTACTTCATGTTGACTTTTCTACCTCTGCCTGTGGTTCTGCTCTCTGGCAGATGATGATTCATGGCAAAATCCCAGAGCTTGGAGTCAGGGGAATGTATTGCTGAGTCCCATGGGAGCAGAAGGCCTAGTATTGCTTTTTCCTTCTCTTTTCTTTTTTTTCTAAATTTTTAAAAATTTTGCCATGATACGAATCCCTCTCAGTCACTAAGTGATTGTGACCACACCTTATAGAGTTGTTGGTGGCATTAAATCAGATGGTGTGTAACAGTACTTTGTAAAAACTGTAACGTAGGTTGTGACTGTAAGGGTTTGTAGTTCTCATGAGTATTACTGCTCTTTTTTCCCACAGTTAACAGAATTTCAACAAAGAAACAGCCCTGCTGTTCCAACACGAGTGAGACGGAGAAAGAAAAGAAACAACAATAGCCCTGAGACAGGCACTTCTGATGGTTGCCAGTCACCATGCCATGTGAGTCTTGGCTGGCCAGGCTTCTGGCGAAAAGGGGCCCAAGGGGCAGTAGAGGGGAATTGTTAAGATTGTGGAAGAACTTCTGGGTACTGGTTAGGAATTCTGGATTTGAATCCTGCCTCTCCATCTACTAGGGATATTACTTAGGGCAAGTTGCTGGAGGCTTTTGGGCCTCTCCTTTCACATCTGTAAAAGACAGGTGGTATTGTCTGACTTCCATTTGTGAGGGTGAAATGAGATTCCTTATTGCTGTTGTGTTTTTTGTTAATCCGTAGTACATGGCCTGCTGTAAACACCCAGGACACCAAGGACAGGGTCCTTGCTGTTTGGTTTTCCTCATCCCCAGTCTCAAGGGGAAGCCAGCCCAATGAGAACAGCCATTTGCTGTCAGGCTGTCCCTTTAAGAGTCACTGAAAGGGCCCCAGGGTGGGATAGTGGGAGATAAGCACCCTGAGAGGAGCTGGCACAGATGAGTTCTGGGACAAAGGGTCCGAGAGGCAGAACAGGAAGTGCTGCCAGCTGATGGGGAGGAAAGGAAGTCAGAGGCTTGGACACTGAGGGGACAGAACATCTCCATGTGCACTCTCATCTCTTGTAGTCAGCAGCAGGTGGTCCCAAGGAGGGCCCTGCACCATGTGCCACCACCAAAGATCCAGAGGTAAGAGGCCCTGAGCTGAGGTACAGTGACCCTGCAGGCCAGCCCTCCACCCTCCTCCCACAGTGGTGGTTGGGTGCCCGTCTGCCAGCCGAGACAGGCCCCACACACCCCAACCCTAATGATTGTTCTCTCTACCTCTCCCCCGATCCTCCCCCAATTCGTCCTCTCTGCATGTGCCTCAGAGCGCACACCAACTACAAATAGCCCTGGACTCGAGCTCCGTCACAACCAGTGAACTGAATAACACCATCGACTTATTGGTAAGAGTCCAGTGGAGTCCCCTGATTCCATGCTGCCAATCCTGGGCTCCAGTTTCCCCTTGGGGCTGCTGTGGGTGAGTTGAAGGGCGCTATGGAGAGCCAGCACTGGATGCAGAGCTCAGAGGCCAAATGCCTGCCCTGCCCTTACCTGGCTGTGGCCTTGGCCAAGTCCTAGGTGGGAGACTGGGTACTTGTACTGTGACAGTACAGAAGAGTAGCTTTAGTATGTTACCATCTGTGTAGAGAGGAAACATGTGTGTGTGTGTGTGTGTGTGTGTGCACAATGATAATATACATAAAACGTGTCTGCAAGGATTTGTAAAACACTCAGGAGAGAGCACAGGTGGCTGGGAGATACTTCCCTTCTGTACCTTCTGAGTTTTGGGCTATGCGAATGTATCATCCTTTCAAAAAGTGAGCAGAAGGTTAATTTCTCCCTTCTTGTCTGTGCCCCCACCCCCAGCAGGAAAAAAATCGGACTTAGAGGGCAGATGGACCTGGGTGTTCAAATCCCAGCTCTGTCTAAGTGACCTTAGGCAACCACCTAACCTCTAATGCTCCATGTTTTCCATCTACCCAATAGAGGTAATGGTAGCAACTGCTTCACATGGTGGCTGTGAGGTTAAATGGGATTGTTACCACACTACCTGGTGACACACTCAATAAAGATTCCAATAGCGTAGTAACAACAGGAATAACAATAGACTATGATCTGATCTCTCTGGGCCTCTTTTAGCCAGTTGTAAATTTCATCTCTTTGCCTGTCCCTTCCAACTTTACTGAGTTCTTTTAAAATCCAGACCATGGGCCTTGATCTTTACTGATCAAGTTGTGTATGAAGCCCAGCCCTAGCTCTTTTAAGAGGCACTGTGTGGAATGGCCCAGGCTCTCCAGGTTGAAGCTTCTCCCTCTCCACCCTCCAGCCCTCGAGCCGCTGTGGAGCAGTCCTTGAGCAGCAGTTACAGCAGTTTCTGCAGGAGCGGGAACTGCTAAAAGCACAGGTGGCAGAGGTGAGACTTTGCAGAGGGAGGGATGTGGAAGGAAGATGACCCCAGGTGGCCAGGAGCAGGTGAGGACCAGTGACAGCCCTTCCTAACTTCTGGGTCCATTCTTGCAGGTGACGGAGTGTCTTAAGAAAGCTCAGCTAGAAAGAGACACATACGCTCAACAGCTCAAAACAGAGAGGGTGCGGTGGCAGCAGCAATTGCTGAAAATGGCAGGAGAAGTGAGAGCTGACCCTTCAGCCCCCACCTTAGATGGCTCACTGGATCTTCCTGGGCATCTGTAAAATGAGAATAGTCCAGCCAGGGGTGGTCACGGGACTGGGCTTTGTGGAGCTGGGGGCGGAGAGGGAGATGGTAGCCTGTCCAGCCACCAGCTCCTCTCTCCAGAGCCCTTTCCCCCTGTGCTTTGGGCAGATTGAAATATTCAAAATGGAGAAAAGACAGGACGCAATTAAAATTGAGAAGCTGAAGGGGAACCTTGCCCACCTACAAAACCATCTGGGTAAGATGGGGCTGGTGTGACCAGGGAGCAGGACTGGCATCAGATGGCTGTGGGGGTGGCTTAGAGTGCCCCAGGGAGGTGGGTGGCTGGAAGGGCTTTGAGGCAGAGGGAAAGAGGTCTGTGCTAGGAGACGGCAAGTCTCGTAATCTCCATGAGTCTCAGTGTCCCCATCAGAAAGAGGGAGGGGTGACTGTTGTCAGCCACCCACAGTGCTCTCTATGTGAAAGTGGCTTGGAAGACTGGCTACCATTTGGGTGCGAGGAATCATTAGCAGTGAGGCCAGGTTTGGGGAGCCTGAGAGGAGCTGTGCACCAAGAAGAGATTTTTTTGTTTTTTGTTTTGAGAATCCAGAGGCCCTCATTGTCTGCTTCCTTTCTCAGTTCAACCCCCAATCCCGAAGCCCCCAGCAGGGCACTCTGACTTGGAGAAAAACCTAAAAACTGAAATCAAGTACCTGAGAGACGAGCTGCGGGAACAGCAGAGACTGCAGGAGGCGAAAATGCGGCTCCGGGAGCAGGAGGTGAGGCTGAGAGAACAGGAGGAGAGGCTTCTTGAGCAGGAGGGGCTCCAGGAGCAGGAGGAGGAGCTGATGTGTTGCCCACCTGGGGAGACTGCCCTCCTTCCCATCCCTCCGGGCCTTTGTTTTCCAACCTGTAAAATGGGGGAGTGTATGAAATGAGGCTTCTAAAGGCACCTGTGAGCACAGCATTGCTCTGATGGCTGTGGGAGAAAGGAGACAATTTTTTAACCTGCCTCCACCCTTCCTGGTGCCATGGGAAGCAGTCACCAAGTTTTGGGGTCTCCAGCTGCAGTGGGTGGCCACTGATTGCTTCTCTCTGTCCAGAAGAACGAGAAGAGGAGCGCACTGCATTTGGAGCAGGAAGGAAAGGAGCTGCAGGAGAAGCTTGGCGAACAGGAGACGGTAACCCCTGCCCCATCCAGGAGGGCTGGGAGGCAGGCACCGGCCTCTGGGGAGGGAAGGTGCAAGGCCACAGGCAGCTCAGCCCTGGGGGCAGGTGACCTCACACCCTCCAAGGGCAGTCCTGTGACCGTTTCTTGCTTCCTGCGCTCCGACTTTTAGAAGCGGGTAGCCCTGGGCTCCTCCCAAGTCTGGACAAAATCGTCCCAGCTCCAGGCATGGAGCCCCCCAGTCATAGGGGAAGAGACAGTGGTGTGAGAGGCTCTATGCTGGGGGTGGTGGCTCACCTCTGTAATCCGAGCACTTTGGGAGGCTGAGGCAGGAGAATCACTAAAGATCAGGAGTTTGAGATAAGCCTGGCCAACATGGCGAAACATCATCTCTACTAAAATTACAACCACCACCACAACAAAGCTGGGCGTGGTGGTGCACACCAGTAATCCCAGCTACTCAGGGGGCTGAGGCATGAGCATCACTTGAGCCTGGGAGCTGGAGGTTGCGGTGAGCTGAGTTTGCACCACGACTCTCCAGCCTGGGCCACAGAGTGACACTCTGTCTCAAAACAAAACAAATCAAAGCAAAACAAAATGAAAGTCTCCTTAGATCTAAACTGGATTCCGGCCTTGATTCCACTAGTCACCATTCGACTACTTTGCATCTCTCAGTCTCTGTTTCTTTAACTTCCAAAGGAAGTTAGCGTTTTCCTTGCGTGGGTGCTGAGGATTAAATGAGATGATGCGTGGAAAGCATTAGGCATGTAGCACACTTGGTAGATGGTGGTCGGCTCCCTGTGCTTTTCCACCAGTCTGTGACCTCCAGTTTAAATGATGGAAGGAAGGACGTGAGGTTTGAGGCTGGGGAAGGAGGCATGGGGTTCTAGGCACGGGAGGCAGTCTCTCAGGCTGGAGCCAGGGGCCAGGCACCTGGGCAGGCCACCTTCCTCTGTGGTCCCTCCCGGACCCCCTTATGCTCTTGGTTTCTCCACCTTCTGATTCCTCTGGACCCTCACCCCTTCCAGGAGCCAGTGGTCAGACACCATCGTGACTGACAGTGCACTCTCCGAGGCCCCAAGGGAAGGGGCTGCGCTCCACCTCCCTGCCCCGTCTGTC